TTGGAATTTAGACTTTCAAAATTAACTTTTAATCAATAATTTAAATTCCAAAACTTGAGGGCAAGTTTTGAAACTCTTCAAAACAATTAGGTTTTAATCTCACTTAAAATTTTCGAATTTAAGACATTTAAATTAAAATTTTAAATATTAAAACTCTTGATTTAATAATTACCATAAATTAAACAATTAATTTAAATTATTAAATCACAAGGGATTATCTAGATCATGAGGATAATTACCAATTATACATCTAAGATATCCTAATCCCTTGAATCCCTCTCTAAATCTCGAAAATAAGGGATGGGATAATTCAAGATCTTTAATTACCATATTTAACAATTAAAAGATACTTACAAGATATGGGATTATCCAAATCCCTAAAATTTAGGATCTAACCTTGGGGAAGGAGGTAATTTCGAAATCCAAGGGTTGGATAACCCTAGATTTCAAAATCTTGGAGGCTAAGGAAAGGATTTGGGAAACCCTAGCAAAAATCGCCATCTAGGGTTTTGCAACCCAGATTGCGAAAATTACCTAGCCTTTAGGGTTTATTAGCCATAAACCCTAATATGTCAAGTTCACAAATTTGAATAAAAGCTAATTGAAAACAAAAACCAATGGCTCTGATACCACTGAAGGGTCTTATACAAACAATCCTGTGTGTGCATGCAACCCTAGTATTGGATCTATGTTTTCACTATTAGTTATACAGCTTTATGAACACAAAAAGAAACCTGGCATGCTACTATAATTTTCGAAATTCATATATAAATCTAGAATACATACCTTTTGTTGTTATATAGCAATAACAACTATTTCCTTGAATTTCCTTAGCTCTTGAAAGCAAGTACCACAAGTGTAGTACCTCTAATGGAGTCACAAACACCATATGCAACTTGGATGAAGAGGAGAAGAAAAAGAGGCACCAAAAACGGCTGGAAACCCTAATGGAAGTGTTGTTCACGTTTTTGGGGCTTAAGGGTCCCTTTTATACATGTAGGCTATTAGGGTTTACAACTAGGAAACCCTAATCTGACTGCTTAGGCCCTAAGCAGCCCATGGACTCCTTAAACATATCCCTTGGACGATTTCTAATGGGCTTCCCATAGAATTCGTTCAACCTATATATTATTAGGTGATCCATAGCCCAATTATAATTATCTTATAATTACAACTTCAGTCCCCTAAGTTTAATTAATCTCTTTTAACCACAAAATTAATTCTTAATTAATTCTTGACCAATATTAATTAAACAATATGATTTCTCCTTTAATATATTATTCTCATAATATATTAATAAATCATATTTAAACCTTTCTCTCCTTAAATCATCCTACATATTGCTATGGTGAAGGCAACCCAAAGGACCATGCTCATAATCGGGTCAAGTACATACCAAAACAGTTATGGACTTAGACACTAATCCAACATATGTTTGATCCTTTTGTATTAGTATATGTTTGATCCTGACAATATTGTGGTGTTTTCAGGCAGAGCAGTTTCAGATATGCTTCTGAATAATCTTTGTGAAGTTTTTAATAGCAAATTGATTGAGGGAAGGGACAAGCCACTGATATCCTGCTTGGAGTACATTAGGGAGTATATGATGAAAAGAATATGCATGTCATAAAGGTTCAAAAGAAGTGTGTTGGTCCACTAACCCCATCTGCAACAAAGATCATGGAGAAGAATGTGAATTGGGCATCTCAGTACACAGTTAGGTGGAATGGGTCAGATAAATACCAAGTGCAAGGGCCATGGCAGGATCAACATGTTGTTGATATGGTTGAAAGAGTATGCAGTTGTAGGAAGTGGGAATTAACAGGACTCCCTTGTAAGCATGTCATTGCAGTCCTAAATGACAAAGCAGATAATGGTGAGGAAGTTGGAGAACTGCACACTTATGCCCACAGGGTGCACTGGCTAGAAACATGGAAAGCAGCTTATGTGTACAAGGTAGAGCCTATTAAAGGTCGAGCAATGTGGCCTATAAGTGAATGCCCAATTAATATCACCCCTCCTATACACAAAAATCAGCCTGGAAGGCCAAAGAAAAAGAGGAGGCACTCTGCTGAGGAGAAAAGCCAGAAGAAGGGAGACAATGTTGCTAGTGGTAGTGGGAGTCAAAGCAATATTGCTAGTAGGAGTGGAAAGCTTACAAGAAAGTTTATCCAAGTAACCTACAGCAAGTGTAAAATTAAAGGGCACAATGCTAGAACTTGCAAAGGCCAAGGGGGTAAGTGATTGGATTTCAAGGGATTTTGATGTTTGTAGGGGTATAAGTGTCTTTTTGGGATAATGTTATGTTTATGTGTATTGTATGTTTAGTACTTTCTGTGTTTTGGGGTTTAACCATTTTGGATGTTACTTTTGGTACTTGATAGTGTACCCCTATGATGTATGGGAACAATTTACACTGGATTTAATGTAATGATGTCTTGATGTTATTGTAATGTATAATTTTTTGTTGTAGAAGTTGACCAGTATACCCTTTTAAACAAAACATACATTTGTCATTGATAATGTGTAAACTACATACAAAATAAATTGACCAATATGACCTTTTAATCAAAACATACATTTGTCCATATACAAAATAAATAGACCAATATGCCCTTTTAAACAAAACCACTAGACAAAACTACACACATGGTCTCGTGGTTTACACAAAATTGCCCAATATAAATTGACCAATATGCCCTTTTAATCAAAACATACATTTGTCCATATACAAAATAAATAGACCAATATGCCCTTTTAAACAAAACCACAAGACAAAAACTGCACACATGGTCCTGTGGTTTACACAAATTTGCCCAATATAAATTGACCAATATGCCCTTTTAAACAAAACATACATTTTTCATTGATAATGTGTAAACCACATACAAAATAAATAGACCAATATGCCCTTTTAATCAAAACATACATTTGTTATTGATAATGTGTAAACCATATACAAAATAAATAGACCAATATACCCTTTTAAACAAAACCACAAGACAAAACTGCACACATGGTCCTGTGGTTTACACAAAATTGCCCAATATAAATTGACTAATGCCCTTTTAAACAAAACCACAAACAAAATAAATTGGTCAAAATGTACATACCAAATAGAATCACCATTGACAAATTCCTGTAAAACATGTCTTACATTGCTTACATTATAACCAAAAAAGACTACCACAAAGTATTGCCCAAAAGATTACATTGCTTAAACAAGATACTACCAAAAACCTTAAAACACTACCCAAACCATTACATTTCAATATACTGCTTAGAAACCAGCCAAACCATTACACTTACAAACCACCCAAACCATTACACCTCAATCTACTTCTTATAAACCAGAACAAACACGAATAACACCCAACTGCATAACAGGTAACACTTGAGTCTTGTGTTTTGTGACTTCACTTTGTTGATTGACCTCAGCAGCCCAGGTATAATAGCTTTTGAACGTTCACAAATTGGACCATCAAACCACCCAATAAATCGACATTTGGGTCCCTTCAAAATTTAAGAATCAAAAGAAGATCGTAACATGTAATGGGAGATTTATACTGAAATCCAAAAAAAAAATGCGTACCTCAGTAGGGCATCCCCAGAAGCGTCTACCTGGATTTTTATCAGTCCATGCTGTGCGAACTATGACCATTTTACCACAAAAACAAAGCACCATTTTTGATTTTGATTTCTTGAAGAAATCGATCGGAGAGTTGAAGAAGACCAAAATGAGAACGACGACAAAGAAGATGGATTGGGATTCGTTCTTATTACTCTCCTTTATTAATATAAAATAAAGGGCATAAATAGGGAATGACCAAAATACCCCTGATTTGACTAGTCAAACATAACTTAACAGAAGGAAACAAACGGAAGTTAACCCATTGGATCAAATATGCAAGAAAATGAAAACTTTGGATTTGTGGTGATAGCCAAAACTTTTTTGGACCAAAGTGGCAATTTTGTGTAAACCACAGGGACCGTTTGTGCAGTTTTGTCTTATATTTATTATAATTATTAAATTTGAATATTATCTAGAATTTATTAAAATGAAAAATAGAAAAAAATAAATAAAAACTCTTAGTAAATGACATGTATCAACTGCAATAATATAAGATAATAATATAACATGTATCAAAAATATTTTATTTATTTGATTTGATTATTATCATATTATGTATATCAAATCTAAAATAGATTTAAAATCAAATTTATTTAACACGTGAAATTATATATACTTTGCCCAAAATCCACACATACGGTGCTCCGCGATTCTCATCGTTCAGTGGGTATACTCTGTATCCTTATCCTATCATTCTATTTATGGCCTAAAACAGGACAACGAAAACACTGTGAAAAGCATACAATAATGGATGTCATATGTCGACTAATTCCAATAACATGAAGACGCCGATTGTATTATTATTATTATTTTTTTTACCTCTTTCTTGCTCACTTCACAACCACTGCTGCGTGAGACGAGATATGTAAACATGTTACCTGTAATAATGCTTTTGATCTTAGGATTTTTAGATAGCTTGCTCGCGATAGAGTATATTACGTTTATCCTCAAATTTAAAGCACCAGGGTAAACCGTTAAGACTTCTATATGAATTGTGCATGTACATAGTTTTTTGTTAATGTAGTCATGTAGATGATCGATTTCGTTATTATTACTAAAGAACAACTATATATTCATTATTATTATTATAATTTCTTTAGCTTTAAACTAAATTTATGTTGGTTTAGCTGTGTAGGGGACTCCCACTTGTCACAAGTCACAACTTAGTGATATGTCCTCACTACAAAATCGAAAGCAAACAAAAATAATAATAATAATAATAATAATAATAATAATAAACGTTGTTGATAACGACTACTGTATGCAGAAAAAAAACGTGTAGCGAAGTGGTAGATGCATCCGCAACTATATTCTATAAATAGCAACCTCTTACTTGTTGAACCAGACATCGGCCAAAAGATTAGATAACATGAAGTCATCACTCTCAGATGCTCTCTTCCTTCTATTCTTCATCACAACACAGTCAATCTGCTATACAACCACTAACGCTGCTGGTGAAAATGTAGTGAAAGATGCAACCGGGAAAAAGGTCCTGAATGGCGTTCCCTACCACATTGCTCCAGTGATATCGGCTAATGGTGGAAGAATCAAGCTAACCGACACAATGAACAATAACAAAATTTGTCCATTCAACGTGGTGCAGGACCCTGCCGACGTTAACCTAGGTGGCCAGTTCATGTTCACTCTCATTGGTAAGAAAAAGTATCTCTTCACATCAAGCATTCTTGCGATTGATTCGGGGTATCCAGAGGGTGCTTGTGAGAAGTCGACATTTTGGACAGTCCCCAATGTCCTAGAACCACCACCTTCGAACTTGATTACAACTGGTGGCGGTTTCGACCAATCTTTTACATGTTTCCAGGTTGTGGAGTATCCTAAGCCAACAAGTCCGAAGGTGCACAGCTACATGCTTCAATACTGTCCCTCGTTTTGTGGTGCAGGTCCTGGAACATGCTTTAACGTAAGCATTTACTTACACAGTGGAGTCAGGCGTCTTATTGCTGCCACTGGTGGTACTCCTTTTGAGTTTGTGCTTTATAAGCTTTCCAAGTAAAGTAGCCTTGTTTTGTATGTGATTTTCTGGAGTGCAAAATAAGGGACATTATCACATGACGTGTGAGCCCATGTGGACTTTATTCCACTCAGACTTTGCTCCAATAATTAAAGAAGCTAATTAAGCTTGTAGTTCAAGTTCACTATTTCGTTTACTTATTCAAGAAATAAGTTTAATTTCTATATTCTAGCCTGCAGGCCCGTCCATAAGTTTTCAATTTCCCGGTTGAAAAGACTTAAATATGCCCTTATAATTGTAGGGGACTCACATACAACATAAATTTATAAAATAAAAATGGAGCACTTTTATAATTTATATAAATTCTATAGCCATACAACTAAACATGTAGTCATTACCAAAAATAATTTCTCTTGTGCATTTTTTGAAATACAATTCTCAATTATCCTATCATTTTTAAGATCCATCCTTCAAGGGCAATTTGAGAATTAGTTTTGTTGCTGCTAAGTGACACTTAATTAGTGCGGGATTCGGTTACATGTGGGGCAGATTGAGTACATGAATGCTGCCTCATGATGGCTTTTAGATTAGTTTTCTCCTTTATTTTGCAAGTTGAATGCCGTTTCTAGGTGGACTTTAAAGTTTGTTGCTATTTTTGGTGCTGCCTCAAAAGTTCTTTGCATCTATCTCCTCTATTTGTGCCCCTTCTGGTGGCTTTTCTTTTTGAGAAACTAAATATCATTTTACTTTTTCTTGCTACTTATCTTCATATCTATTTGAAGTTACGATAAATATCACATTTTGATAAAATTAATAATATTTTAAGACATTTTTCATCATTTTATATTGATAGGAATATAAATAGAAAAAAAAAAGTAGGAGGATATTTAATTTCTTTTTCTTTTTTGTACATAATATTTTCCTTGCCGTTCAAACAAAAATAAATCAATCTTTTTTGATTATTTCTTGAGTCATTGTAGCTAGTCCAAAGAGATAACTTTGATTTCTCCTTCGTATGTTTCTAATAGCAACATGCGCTGTCAAATATGTAGCGTAATAAATAAATCCATCGATTTTGTTTCAAGCTGCTAATAACAACATTTGATCTTTTGAAACTAAATGATCTAACAAATAAACAAAGAAAACAAAAATTAGAATTTAAATGACACTTTAGTAAAATTTAATCACAAAGCAGAAATTAAAATTTCCAAATGAAAAACTATCTCTTAAGTATAGTTATGCATTAAACATTAATAAAATTAGTATAGACATTACAAAACTAAAAAGAGTTTCTTTTGTTATTATATTATAAATTACTCATTGAGCAAAATAAGAACAACTTCTATAAAACGTTAATCAGTATGCTGTAAACAGTAGATAACCAAAATTGCATGATGATATGAAAAGAAAACAATAATTGCATGCAAAACACAATCCATACAACTTTATCAAAATAGAAATAAAAGATTACCTAAATTTTGTGGTGAAAAAACATTTTTCTACAAAGCCAATGGACAAAGCGACAGAGTGAATAATTGCATAACCGTGAGATTGATGAGTGTGATGATGAGAGCCTAGATACAAAATATCACATAATAGAGGTGATGAGATTGTGATTTTAATTTATACCAAAAGCCAAAGAGACAAAGACGAAAACACAGATGTATGTGAATGTTTATGTCGTTAAAAAAAAGGTAAAGGCGTATAGGAAGTTACCATTGCAATTAGGGCTCGTCCTATTTGGTATGTTCGTTCTAACAGGAGTCAATTGTGATACAATTTCACAATTACTAAGATGATCATAAAACGTGATACTAAAGTATGCGTCTTCCTTTTTAGATTGAAGAATCTTTTATCTTTTTGCTTAATATATTCTAATAGTCGTTCTGCTACTCTTTGCTACTACTTGAACCTTTTCAAAAGTATTAAAATTCTATTTAATCTTATAAACAAAATCATATTTTTTTGAAGTGAAAGAAGAACCAAATCATTGGCTTTCTTCTTTGGGTATACTACACCCATCATTTCCATTTTGTCAATGTATGATTTCATTTTTAGAACATGTGCACACGAATTTCCATCTTTATGTCTACATGCCAATAAGGCTTGAGTGGTTTCATATTGTAACATCCTGTTTTGAGAAGTTTCTTATTTCGGGATTGCGGACTATAAATGGATCAAGTAAAGGCATTGGGCTTTAAGGGAATAGGGTTTAGACCCTATTGGATGTTGATAATATTGGTTATGTAATTTAAGCCCTAGGTTTGTATCTTGGAGTCAAAGGGTAGAATGGGGAAAATGATGTTTCGGACTTCTTTCATGAATTATGGATTTTATTTTGGTGTGTTCTAAGTCAAAAGTAATTAAGTAAAATTGTGGGGCTCGTCAAAACCTTTTTGTGCATATAAACATCACCAAAAACTGAGTTGAAATGAAGAAGTTATGGTTAATTGAAGTTGGAATGGATTTGGGTGAAAAACCGTCGCCATGGAGTGGAGATCAGAGCCTACGGTGTGGCAGGCCATGGAGTGGAGAAATGTGGCCACAGAATGGCAGTATATCATGCCCAAACCCATAATCTTAGGGTTTTCAACGTATATAAGCATAAGGTTCCACATTTTTTTTGGCATTTTAGCAGCCTCCATCATATTTAGAACCCCTTTGGAAAACCCTAGCCTCAATCTTCAAGTTTTGAGCTCCTTGCTTCTAATCTCTCCTCTTGTGGATGCTTTTTATGATATTTTGATGAAGTGTAAAGATCAAGATGGTTCTTTTGGTTGCAAGGAATGATGCTTTAAGTTTGGATCTATCAAATGTACTACATTTATGGACCATTGTAAGTATAAAGTTCCAATCATGCTCTTTTGTTCTCTAGATCTCTTCATTTGTGCTCTTTGGCACTTCTGGTCCATTTTATAAATGATCTTGGAGTTGAGTGGAGTCCAACATCTTTTGATAAGTTTGGAATACTTCTTGGATCTCATGGACTACGAAAGTTATGATCTTTTGCCTTCCCTTTTAGCCATGTAAGTTATCTTAGTCTTTAGGCCATTTTTGTGTATTAGAGTTTAGATCTTGTAAGATTGTGGCATTATCGTGGATAAAACTAAAAGTAAGAGACTCGGACTTAATATTTAGAACCCCTTTGGAAAACTCTAGCCTCAATCTTCAAGTTTTGAGCTCCTTGCTTCTAATCTCTCCTCTTGTGGATGCTTTTTATGATATTTTGATGAAGTGTAAAGATCAAGATGGTTCTTTTGGTTGCAAGGAATGATGCTTTAAGTTTGGATCTATCAAATGTACTACATTTATGGACCATTGTAAGTATAAAGTTCCAATCATGCTCTTTTGTTCTCTAGATCTCTTCATTTGTGCTCTTTGGCACTTTTGGTCCATTTTATAAATGATCTTGGAGTTGAGTGGAGTCCAACATCTTTTGATAAGTTTGGAATACTTCTTGGATCTCATGGACTACGAAAGTTATGATCTTTTTCCTTCCCTTTTAGCCATGTAAGTTATCTTAGTCTTTAGGCCATTTTTGTGTATTAGAGTTTAGATCTTGTAAGATTGTGGCATTATCGTGGATAAAACTAAAAGTAAGAGACTCGGACTTAATGAATTAAGTTGAGAAAGGTGTATTTTTAGGTCCTTTTGAGGCTTAAAGCCTAGATCTTGGTGGTTTGGACCATCCTAATGGATAAAGTTGGAAACTTTATCCATTATGAAGCTTTTAGGAATCAGATTTGATGATTTTAGCTTTAGTCCTTATGGATTAAGCCCTTATTTAAGAAAAGTCTTTCTAACTAAAGACCACGACATGGCCAAGGAAGGCCACGATGTGGTGGCAGGATTTATCACATCTGTTTTGTCCGGACGTGCCCACAACATGGCATGATGCTCACGATGGTGTGGCGACAAGTTTATTCGCAACTGTTTTGCCTAGATTCTGCCACGACATGGTAGTAGATTTTGATTGAGATTGGATTGAGTGGACACGACGTGGCCATGGATTGGCCACGATGTGGGCGTCAGCTGGAGTTGACTTTTAACCAATTTGACGTTTTGTCAAACTTGGGTAGAGTTGAGCATTCGACTAAGGATTGGTTTTAGTTTGGATTTAGGAAGCTTAGGTTGGCTGTCTTATTGTTGAGGTAGCTATTGGGCTTCTGTTGAATAGTTTAGGTGAGTCTCTTCCATGTGCTCGTGGGTCGAAGGCACCAATGTCGGCCCACTAGATTATGTTTGTAGGATGATAGTTGTCTTTGTGACTCCTGCCGATATGCCTATATGTGTTTGTTGTCTTTGTGACTCTTGTTGATATGATTGTTTACTTTATGTATGTGGGGGTGGAATAGACTTAGGGTGAAATAGACCCATTCGGTTGAAAAACACTGATTGAGTTGAAATAATCTCTGGGTGAAATAGATGCATTCGGTTGAAAAACCACTGACTGAGTTGAAATAGACTCGTTCGGTTGAAATACACTGATTAAGTTGACATACACTCAGGGTGAAATAGACTCGTTATAGCTTCGAGCTGATATATATGTATGGTATGTGGTATTTTGGGGAACTAACTAAGATTTTGCTTACAGTTTATGTTTAAAATATTTTCAGGTACTTTTGGTTTCTAAAGGAAGGGACCGACTTACTACATCCCCTAGAGATTTATTCTGCATTGAATGTTTATAAATTTACTATGATGTTTTGAGAATGTTTTTACTCTGATTGTCTTAATGGATATTGAATGAATGATTTCGACTTATTTAAAAATGTAATTTTTACTCAAAATTTTTAGGATGTTACAAGTTGGTATTAGAGCCTTGGGTTGAGTGATTTCGGCACACTCTCGAGTGTGTCTGAACTCAAACTAAGGAGTTAATACAATCTTTTAAAATAAAATAAGTTTTCCAAAAAGGTTATGCATGTAATCATCCGAGCTCAAGATTTCCGAAAATTCCCATCCATGTTTTATACTTATTGTTTTGGTATGAGTATAAGAGAATTGCATGCTAGATTAGGACTAAGGATCCGCTTAGGATT